GGAAAGGGACACCCCCCTCTCCTTGTGTCTCATATGCTAGTATAAAGGGCTCATAATAGTGGCATGATTGCTTAGCATGTTTTGGCCCCATTTCAGCAAGTATTTGGTGTTATTTTAGCATGCTATACCTCTGTCTAAGGTTGGTTTAATAGCATCTTGCATACTCCATGCACTTGTCTTGCAATCCTCTAATTTGCCTTAACATGCATCATGCATTTGGACCATCATTCTTGCATATTTTGGCTCAACTCAAAGAAGCTTTTAGTCATGTTTTACCATGCTTGAGCTCTATTCCATGTTGTTTTAGTCATGCATGCACTGTTTTGTATAGCCATAGTTCAATCTAGCTTGTTAGCTTTGAGTGTCCAAGTCATTAGCATGCATTGCCTAGACCATTTTCATGATTTGGCATCATTTCATATGTGATTTCAGTCCATGTAGTGTAGCTATACACTTGCATTTGTCACTCTTTTGATGCTTTGAGGAGTTGGTGCTTTATGCCTTAAGAGTGGGCCATTGTGCATGCCATCATGTTTAGGCCTTTGGGATGCCATCTCAGTGGGTTTTTGGGCTTATTTTGACACGCCATAACTCTATTTTTCATTGGTTAAGTCATGCCATTTTTGGTTGTAATAGGTGTAGTGTAATACCCCTTTGTTAGCCATGCATGCCTCATGCCTTTTGGACTCTTGTTCTAGCTTGTGTTGGCTAGGTTCAAGCTTGCTTTTGGTCTTATCTAGACCTAGCTTGGGACTATTTTGGGTTGTACTTGCCATTTGCTTCATGTTTTGCATAGCCTTAGTGCAAGTCCCTTTTGCTAGCTTCAAGTTTTGAGCCTCTTGCATGCCATACTTGTGTAGTTTGGATGGTTTGGCACCATTCTATGCATGATTTCAGAGGTTATGATGCTTGTCACATGTCCACACTTTTCACTCTTTAAGTGCTCTTAAGAGTTTGTATCTTCATGCCTTGTTTGTGAACCGAAGTGTATGCATGTTTGTATGTGCTTTTGTCTTCATTTTCGTTGCATTTTGGCCACTGATTTGGGCATGACTGAGGCCTACCCATTTTGGTTTAAGTCCATCTTTGCATGTTGTTGCATGCTTATCCATCTTTGCATGTTGTTGCATGCTTACCTATCTTGCATGTTGTTGCATACTTGTTAGTTTGCATGTTGTCGCATGCTTGTTATGGTTACATTGCATTTTGCATGCTTGGTACATTGCATGTTTGCATGTTTAGGTTGCATTGCATTCGGTATGCTTGTTACGTTAGCCTTGTGTGCATGCTTGAGTCATATTGCATTTGGCATGCTTATGTTGCATTGCATAGCTTCTCCATGTTGTATACATTGCATTGTGTTTGATTTGGGGTGTCAAACCAAACACGAGAAATGAGGGACGTTTCATACTTGATGTGATGAAACGCACCTCAATCGTTGGTCGCCGACACTCCTGATCCAACATGATAGAGTTCAAGGCATTTATGTGGTTTTGTGCATTTCATTCACATTGAATTGGGCAATTCGGTCTCTTTGGCCATCATGCATCGAAATGCGTGATTGATGGCTCGAGAGTCGAGCACTACACTCATTTGAGTTCCAAAACATGATAAGGGGTGTGGTTGCACAACATTTTCATGCAAATGTATTGCCATGCCCTTGTTTGTCCTCTGCTGCAGCAAAAGGAGCAGTCTGTAGGAAGAGATGGCCGATTAGCTATCTTCAGTGCCGTTCGGCTAACATTGTTTGGCCGATAGCCTCATAAGTGGTCGACGACCCCTTTTCTTTGGCCGATGACCATACCATTTGGCCGATGGCCTCTCAGCATATCCATGAGGTGGTTCAGAAGCATCACAGCGATTTGTATAGTTTTCAAAGGTGCAAATCAGTGCAAACAGAGGCAACATGAGGCATGGCAATAGATTTTCGAGCAAAGCCGACCGAGCATGCACATGTCCCTCTTCTCGAGGCCACTTTAACTGTTTTGCAACTTAATTAATTTGTTTAATTAGTAAATGTTTTGTAATAATTAATTAGCTTGATAGTTAGTTAATTAGTTGGTTTGTATAATTCATTTAGACCCTCCGTCGAGAGGGCCAACTGTTGTAATAAGTGTGCGTGAGTGTGTGTGAATGTGTTCCAACCCTATGTCTTTTTCCCTTTTACTTAACCACTTACGATGGTTAGTTCTAGGTCATATTTCAATTAGCATTCTTATGATAGCATGTTTGCATACATTCGTTCGTATTGCATGCACCGGGCTTGGCGCATCATACTAATTGCATTGTATTTCAATTCCTACTCGAATACATGTATCAAGTGTAGCATTCATATGCCATTTTAGAATAGTCGAGCCTATTTTCAGTTGCATTTTGCATGTATTGCATTAGCCATCTTAACATAGCTAGGATCATGCATTGATTACTAGCTAGCTATTGTTTTGGCTCGGAGTACTAGGTAAGCTTTTACGCTTTAGCATACTGCATGAATGTGAGTGTTTCCATGATAACATACTTGCCATGAGGCTAACTGTTTAATTGATATAACTGCCTGAATGTTTGTGGGTGAAGAGTGGATTACCTGAATTGGAACAATTCATTGAAATGCGAGTTTTAAGCCCACCTGAGAGTGGCAAAATCATGTTTTCTAAGCCCACTTGAGGGTGGCAAATCTACGTCTTAGCCTACCTGCGAGTAGCACCTTCAAACCATTTTCAAACAAACATGAGGTGTTTTGTTCCAACTTAGGCGATCTAGTCTATACTTGTGTGTTGTGCGCATCACATAGTAATTCTAGCTAATAGCCGGAATAAGAACACATGTGTTTTCAAAAACAAGATATCATGTTAGTAAAGGGTGATCCTTTGATCGGGCGAGCGGGGTTGCTCATTGCATGACCTTTCCCTCTCGTACCCAAGTTTCCAAGCCGAGGTAACTTTGGTGATGACGGACATGTGGCCTTAGACACGAGTAAGGGTTTCCTAAATTCCCCACAAATAAAATATTTAGGTGGCGACTCTGTATCTAGGAAAACAGTTCATGTTTGACACTTCTTTATAAAAATCAATTTTCCAAAAATGATTTGTCGGATTTGGACCCTTTGGTGATTTATCGATCTTGCATTGCACTTTGCGAGATTAGATTCAGAACCGTCTGAACTGCAGTAGTGCAATGAACAAAATGGATTTCGCGCCATCTCATGCGCGGAGCACGGGATGTTCAGGCACGTCTACAACAGGCGACTTCAGCCTGTAGCTCAATGGTTTTTTGTTTCTCTTCTCCTAGTTCGGCCATCTTAGCGTTGGCCTCTGCCACGGCCAACTGAGTTGTTTTTCGCAGCTCCAACACGCGCTTATGAGCAACGTGATTCTTCTGCAAGGCCTGCAAAATGAGGGATAACAATTATGTTTAAAACCGTGCAAATAGATGTGTGAACTGGAAAGACAAGCAAAAGGACAAATTACCAGAACCATCGACTTTGTTGCCGAGCGGATGGCCTTAAACTGAGTCAGATGTTCATGATGCTCCATATCGGCTGGCAGGCCCACGCTCTTGGCGAGGTTAAAGGCAAGAGAGTGGTCTTTTTCTGCAACCACCGAGTTTGTGTTTCTTACGACTCGGTTATTGAAAGTTATTTTTGGTGACCACGCCAATGGGCTAGCTTGGTCAGAACGCACGGGCTCAGGGCTCGGTTGCGTGGATTAAGGGAGCAAGGTGTCGTCGTCATCCACAAGGTGTTGTGGCTCGGTTGAGGGAGTGTGAGCGCGCTTCCTCAATCGGGATGACGAGGCTTGGGCTATTGGGAGGGCCACCACTACATCAAATGTTTGACCAGCTGGAGTTGTGTCTGTCTAAACCCCGCTGTCTGGAATTGAAGTTGTCTCGATGATTAGGGCTCGCACAGCTCGGCGCTTTGCCATCTCTTGTTCTTCGGTTAGGGAAACAAGGTTGATTTCGGAAAGAGTTGGATCTAGTTCTGGTAAAGGCTCTAGAAGGAAGTCAGTTACCCTGGTCTTCCTCCTTCCACTATATCTGTATGTTGGTTCAAAATTGAGTAGCTCGGCCCAACCTCGATCGCGGTACCGAAGCGCGGCGCGGAGTGTGTCTAAATTGGGGTATTGGTATTGTGACTTTAACTGGTTCAAATCTGCATAAAGAGAAAGACAATGGTTAGCGCGGTGTAAAACTTGTAAACAACAAGAGCAAAAAACAGACAAACTAAGCCGAGGTATTCATACCGGCTGTTCCCTTATTCCAGTTAATACGGTAGCCTCCTAAAGAATCAATGATGTATATATTAAGACACTAGTTCATGCAATTCAAATTCAAATATTCACAATTTGATTAGGAGGGTAGAGAGACGTGATCTTCTTTTACTGATGCGTGGAGAGATAATATTTGAAAAATAGTTTTTGAAAATCAGTTAATTAAGGGTTTATGACAGTGGCAGTAATATTTATGCATAACTAAAATTCAAATTTATGTTCTTGTATGTCTTTGTTTTAAGCCAATCATAATATACAAAAACAAAAACCAAAAACCAAAGGAGACTCGGAGAGCTAGCTAGAAACAGTTGGCCAAAACAGTAACAAAATTACTTAGTCACGCAAAAAAACTTCGAATAAATTGTAAGTTAGAAGACAAAGTAATTTTTCAGCCAAAATAGCGAGATCTAGCTTGTACGAGAGTGTTTAGTTCCAAATCTACCACTAAATCAAGGCAAATCTCAAACTTTTTAGATCCAAGGCCACAAGCACTGAAACCAAAAAATTCACTAAAAGCAGCAACAAAACCCTAACATCTTCTTACTAATAAGTCCATATCAATGAAGAACATAAAACGAATCACTCATACATGACAAGAGAAGAGTTAGAACATAGCAGATCTGATAAAACAGAGCGAAGAAGAAGAAGAAGCACAAAAAAAAAAGGCTTACTCTCACCATGCAGAGAGTATGAAAACAAAGGCAAAAAGGACTCTCCCGAGGATCTTCATTCTTCTTCACTCCTCGGTCTCGTAACCCCGCCGATTTGTGTAACTCAACCAAACCATCTTCCTCTGCAAAATCATCAAAATCAGAATTAGAATCAAGAAAAACAAAAAATCGTCAAGACATTTCAACCAAATAGATGAAAGAATTGATGGATTTAGGGTTAGATATGAACAAGTAATCGGAATCAACCTAGGTGAATCTCTCAAGGAGCATGAGGAGACAGAGAAAACCCTAGATCTAGGAAGGAGAGAGAAAACGATAGAGACAGAAATGGGACGAAAAGAGAAATGGAGGATAACGCTGTAGAACACGTGCTCATAAGAAGATAACGCGCGTCTTTTAATCTTACTTTACCTCTTTCACAGCGTTTTTCAGAAAAACGTTGTCTAAAAAACGTGGTCATAGCCAGTTTTTGTTGTAGTGCGTCTAACGTAACCATGATGCTTTTTGTTATTCCCTGTTTTATTGATGCATGCTACGATCTTTATATCTTTCTCGATATCAATAAAACTCTCTTTTATTGATAAGAAAAATGAAAAAGATGTCAAATTGTCACATAAACATTCAATTTAAAGAAAAAAGTTTAGAGATAAAATTATTTTTATGAGTATGATAATTTTGTCACTAAAAGTATTATTATTTTATTTTTAACAATAAAATTAGACATTTAACGATGAATTATTAATTTTTTGGGAGCAAAAGTTTTGTCTCAAAATATAAATCTTTTTAGGGCAAGTTATTTTATCCTTAAAAGTATATTTATTAGCGACATTTTGAAAATTTTGTCCCTAAAAATTTCATTTTTGACCTTTTAGATCGTCTTCTTAGCAACTGTTCTCGTGAGAATTGAAATTAATCCCCAAATATTTTTGTAACAAAATTTATACTTTTAGAGATAAAAAAAACTTGATCTTTAAAACTCTTATATATGCTGTTATGTGAAAATATTGCTTTAGGAAAGCCATTTTTTATTTTATTTTATTTTATTTTTATTTTTGGGAATTGTGGGTAAAGACATAACAAAATTGTTCAAAATTTTGATAAGGTGAGCTCAAAACTATATGGTGTTCAATATTTGTTTTAGGGTACTAGTGACAACAAGAGATGTGAAAAATAAATAAATAAATAAATGAAAAAGAAAACAAAAAGAAAAAGAAAAAAAAAAAGGAAAAATTATTGAAAAGTCTTGTTTGAAAAACATGTAGTGTATTTAGTCCCATAACCATTTGTTGATATCCAAAAGTCCTATAACGTTATTCTTTTTCTCTGCCTCTCTTCTTCTCTACTTCTTTTGCTCTTTGTGATTTCCGGTGATCGTCAACAGGCAACCACATCTTGCTTCTTCTCTTTCTCTTTCTGATATATAGTCACTGTCGACCAACGACTACCATCGATTGGGGTTCACCAGCAACCACTGACTGCCGACTCCTTACTTCACCCTCATTGACAGAAAAAAAAAATATGTTTCCAACAAAGAAGATAAGTAGATCTACTTAGATCTGATGTAGATCTACATCAGATTCGACTAGATCTAAACAAAAATAGTTGCCAGAGTATAATCATCTCTCTATATCTGCCTCTCTCCTTCGATCTCTTAATTTTTCTACATTTTCTTTGCTATACACTTCTCTTTTTTGCTTTAATGGAAAAAAAATTCAAGTTTTGAACAAATTGTTTTCGACTTTTAGTTACAGGTGGCGAAAATTATAAAATTTTGCAGTTTCAATATTTTTTGGTGCTACAATGAATCATGATTTAAAACTGTAAAATTTTACAGTTTCATAACATTCTTTATAATTGTAAAATTTTACAGTTTCGTAACATGCTTTTCAAGTTGATTAATAAGGATAAATGCTTAATAGATTTTTGCTTTGAAACTGTAACATTTTACAGTTTCAAAACTTGCTTTTAAGTTTGATCAATATTGGAGATTATTTGCTTAAACCCTACAAAAATTGAAAAATAACATATGTTTTTTTTTTTTTCTCCCATTGTTGCTGTTTTTTGTCGTTGTTACAGTTTTTTGTCGTTACATTTTTTTTTTCTTTTAGTTTATAAATATTTAGCACATTTTGCTATTTTTTTAGCTCTAATTTCTCCATTTATTTTTTTTTTTTTTGGACAATATTCTGGACATTCCGGTGAGTCTCTAATAATATTCTTAACGTCCAGCAAATGTTTTGGACATTCCGGTGACTTTCATTGATGTTCACAACACTTCGATGAATTTCCAGCAATACTCTGGCAGCTTCTCGGTGATGTTGAACTTTTCGGCGAGTCTCCGATGACCGCCTGACAGAAGTCCGACGATAGTCGGATGTAACAGTATCCATAAATTTAAAAAAAAAAAAATAGGATTTTTTGGTAAACAATTAAAAATATATAAAACTAATTGGTGCAAATGTTTTGTTTTGGGATTAGATGAGTTTTGAACTTTGTATATGGGACTTATTGGTAAGTTCCCCGTAATTTTTTTTAGAGGATGATATAATATACCACTAGATTGTATATTCCCTAAAATGGGTGGATATACAATACCCACTCCCCCCTATTATATCATATCCCATCAAATGGGATAAGAACTAAAAATATAATTTTATCCCTTTACAATGGGAAATTCGATTATGTGTGTATATGAACTTTACAATGAGAAATTTGATTGTGTACATGAGAAATCCGATTGTATATGACCAAAAAAATTATGTTCATGAATTTTATTTTTAAATTTTTACAGTTGAATTTTTTACATAAACTATATATATATATAAACAAAAATGTTATTTCCTTTTTGGAATTCAAAGTTTTAATTCAATAATTTTAATTTTAAATATAAAAAATATATTTATAATTATACTAATTTAAAAGGTTTTGAATTTTCAAAGTTCTAATTCAAAAAATATTTACCAACTTGAGAATTAAATAAATAAGTAGGCCAAATAAACTATGATATGTATTTTATTTTTATTTTTTTAAATTTCCCGATTAGACTATAATATGTATTTTTTATTTGTAAGAATTTAGAGTACACAATTAAATTTAGAAAAATAATTTTAAAAATGTTAAAACTTAATTGGTTCTAAATTATTTTTCTTATATATTTTAAACAAATTTATATTATTATTTAATTTTTGATTATGCTATTACTTAATTGATTTTTTTTTATTTAATACACATATAGATATTGGCAAATGATTGGATGTAATGGACATACATAAATATTACATGTTGATGGGCATAGGGACAAAATAGACATTAAATAATGTTACTTGCTTATATCCTGATGACGTTCTAGTTCGAACGGAAGATAGGTTGGATTGGTCCACACTTCTAATAGCTTTGCTGGTCTTGAAGCCCACATGAGGTGCCTGCAAAAAAGTCCAAAAGGGAGAGATAATCCCCCAGCAGATTCTCCGACGATCGAGTTAGGATCAAATTGACTGTGTAGAGAGAGAGAGAGATAGAGAGAGAGAGAGAGAGTGTAGAACTTAACCTTTTATGCATTTTGGAAGCTGTCTTATATCCTTTGCTCATCATTTCCTTCTCCATTCAAGGCTTCGTGTTGGCCGAAGGTCTACATTCTAACTCGCATCGTTCATGGTGAGTCTGTATCTTCCGACATGAAGGGGTTGTCGTATTTAATGTCATGAGAGCCTCATTAATGGCTGATGTGTGAGTGCAATAACTTTACAGGTTCTTTGTCTGCTTATGTGTCTAGGCTTCTGTTTAGCAAGTGTTTAAGTGTTATATATTGGTCTTGGCCTGGTGTTGATTTCTCAGAGTTATTGGGCTTTGATCGTTGGGATGTGGATTGGGCCCTGATCCATGAGTTGGGCCCTCCTAGGTGCCCATCGGTATCATATCCCATATTTCTTTTTATAAAACAAACATAAATAAGAATTATCCAGTACTATATCCTGAACATAACAAACATGAGTATGGGATATGTTATCCAATCCATATATCATGTTCATTGCATATACTAAGTAAATCCCAATACATATTATATCCTTCATTTTATATTTGAACAATCAAACAAGACCTAAGAATAAAGCATCAATTTATCAACATATAAGTGTTTAGTTTCACGAAATCAACAGAATCAAAAGGCAAAAAGAAATATTTGATATAAAAACAAGGTGGCTACACTTAAATTTTACAACTCATTTCCCCACTCAATTTAAAACTCATCCACCAAATAAATTTTTCACACTCAAATCATAATTCCAAAACTCACAAACTCAAAATACAACTCTATTCTCAAATCATATTTAGAAAACTCTACCAAACACCACCTTAATTTCTCGATTAATGATGTATTCCTCTGTTAAAACACTCTGTCGAATTTGTAGTAAGGATGACGGTGTAGAATCATTTGTAGAAAGTTTGAGATGAAGACACGTGTGATTAAAAGAGAAAATTAATTGGTGGTTAGTAGAAGTTACTTGGAGGACAAATGACACTTCAAGAGGACATCGAGAGAAAGTTATTAGAGGGCCATATGTCATTATAGGAGGTGGTAGTTTTTTCAAACAAGTTGTGGATTACTTATTCATAGTTTTTATGGAGATTATCTATCTGTCTATCTATATTTATATCTATATTATTATTAAGTAAAGATCTTAATTGGTGTAGTGAAACATTACTCTCCTCATGTCACGTGACACTATCTTTTAATTTTAAAAAAAAAATTACACAAAGAAGTGGGCAGGGCTTGAACCCATGATCATCATGAGTTTAAGGTAAGAGAACTTATACCACTTAAACTAAATACATATTATAACATTAATTTCATTATTATTTTCTTTTATTCTTACTTATTTGAATTGCACACGCATTACGTGTGCCACTTGCTAGTTATTATATATGTGAGCACCTATTTTGGTATCATGAAACTTCCTTTCTCTTTATGCCAAGTATCTAATTTTCTATTCACCAAAAAAAAAAAAAGACAAATAAATAAATAAATAAATAAACTATAAAAACAAAGTAACAAAATAAACTATAAAGGCAAAGTAACAAAAGTTCGTTTATTGTACTTATTTATTTATTTATTTTTTTTTTTATCCTTTTTCATCTTTTGCTTTTGTTATGAAAGCTTTTCTATAAGTAAACACCTATTTTGATGTCTTAAAGTTTTGTCTCTCCTTTTGCCATGTGACTGAAATTTATTATTATTATTGTTGTTGTTGTTGTTATTATTATTATTATTATTATTATTATTATTATTATTATTATTATTATTATTATAATGAGATGAGACTTGAACTTGAGACCACAAATTTGACTTATCCACGCATCACGTGTGTCAACCGCTAATACTATTAATAAGTAAAAGCCTCAATCAGTGTA